AGGTAGCTGAAAAAAGATGGAGTTAGAGATAGAAAGAGAAAGAGAGAGAGAAAGAGGGAGAGAGAGAGAGAACATAATACCTTGAAAACGGTACACGGTACCCGATGCCTATCGATAATCGCGACATCCATCCTTTCATTCTCGACCACAAAATTCCTGCAGGCGTATGCGTCGAAACTAGTATTGTTCGTGCAGCACGCTCATGCTTATGTAACGGTCCGTTCATTTTCGCCTCTGTTACTAAATCACACTATATCTGATGTTTATACCGCGTTACAGCGATATATAATGTATTAGGAGAAATAACTACTAACATTCTTATTTCCGGTGTAATCGTCGTTAATCGTTCGTCCGTTTTCAACATACATATGTATATCCATTTATATCTTTTTCAATGGTCAGACATTAGTTTGAGATATAGAATAATATGAAAGTTATAGAATAATAAGATAGTATATAAAAATGAATTATGTTACGACATTCACTATTTTATATATATATATATATATATATGTATATGTGTGTGTGTGTGTGTGTGAGTGTGTGTGTGTATGTATGTGAGTGTGTGAGTGTGTGTATCTATGTTACATATACATGAGCTGAATATTCGATGATACATAGTAAGATATAAGAATTTGATGTATAATGATATATTAAGAAAAAGTATCTAATAGAGAAAGAGAGAGAGGGAGAGATCCTCCAAAAAAAAAGAATAGGAAAAATATATAAAAGTGAATATGTATCGACGTTCGTTGTATATAAAAATATATGTACATTACATATAAACGAATTAAATGTTTGAAGTATGACAATATGTTGAGAAAAAGAATAGTAAAGATTCTTACAGGAAAATGTCTTCGTACTACTCGACTCCATCTTCGAACCAAGAATCCACTCAGCTGTTGAGAACTTTCTGCGAAAGAAAGAGAGAGAGAGAGAGAGAGAGAGAGAGAGAGAGAGAGAGAGAGAGAGAGAGAACGAGAGTGAGAGAGAGAGAAGGCAAGGAAAGAAGGGTGATAGGGAGGGGATAGAAAAGGTAGAGACAGAGAGAGAGAGAGAGAGAGAGAGAGAGAGAGAGAGAGAGAGAGAGAGAGAGAGAAAGGGAAAAGGGAAAGAGAAAGAGAAAGAGGGAGAGAAAAAGAGAAAGAGAAATATAGTCATGGAGTAAAGTAGAAAGGAAGCAGTAGCTCATGTGAAGGCATCGTGTAGGGTGGAGTCGACGATCAGGACGCGCTTAGGCGTGCGCTCTGGGCATATCGGCTTTTCGGGAGAGCCTTGGTCGATGTTCCTAGTTCCTGGTGTACCTACGGGATCGGTTACAGGCGAGCAAGCCACATGATTGGTCCATTTTGTCAGCGACACCCGCCCACGCTACGTTATCGCGCAACGACGTTCACTCTTTTTCTATCTCTTTCTATCTCTTTCTATCTCTTTCTCTGTCTATCTCTCTCTTTGTGTGTATATATATATATATATATATATATATATATATATATATATATATATATCTTACTTTCGATTCCATCGTTGTGCCGATAACTTCATTTCTTCGTCTTTCATTTCTTTTCTATATCTCTTTCATTCAATTATTTTTTGCGTTTAACTTGAAATAACGATAGTAATCAAAATGGAATTTTTCCTGGGTTCGTTTTTTTTTTTCTTTTTTTTTCGTTTTTCTTTTTCTTTTGGGGATTAAGTGGTTAAATATACGTTGAGTCATATTAATGACGTCATTTTGCCGAAAGGGATTATTTTCTTTTCGTAGGTCGAAAGTACGAGGAACGAGAACAGTCTGGATGAGGCTCGGAATACGAGAAGATATGATAGGCATAGAAAGTACTCGTAATTAATGTCATAATAATCTGTTGATATATTTTCGCGTGAATTGTATTTACAGGGACAAATAATAATATATAATAATAATTTTAATAAGAATAATATAATAATAATAATAATAATAATAATAATAATAATAATAATAATAATAATAATAATAATAATAATAATAATAAAGAATAATGCAATAATGAGGAATAGAATAATAATAATAATAATAATAATAATAATATAATGATAATAATAATATTTAATAATAATGCTGCACTTTTACTGATATATTTATATCTGTTTATAATTTCGCGTTAATAATCTTTACGTAACATACTTATACAGCATGTAGACCGTATTATGTTCATATTTATAGGACCGATTATACAAGAATTTTACTATTGAGTCTATCTACAAAGAGAAAAGGATCTAGCGAACTTGGTCGCAGGTTTCTATCTTCGTTTTTATTATCAATATCATCGCTTTTAATGTTTTGTCGTATCTCGCATAATAAGATCGATTGGACTTCTTTAATTCTTGACAAAATTCGAGCAAGTTGAAGTTTTACTTTCAATGTAGCATACCTTCAAAGACCGGGTCAATTAATGAATTTACAAGTCGCTAGTTTCTACTTAGTCTAACAAGGTATGGTGGGAGGAGTAGGGGTGAACGGGGTAATCGCCGAGGGAGCGTAAATTAGTTTGTCCGACGTCTCAATTTTCCACGAGCGTTTTGCTTTCTCCTTTTCAGAGTAACGGCGTATGGCATTATGCGGTTTCGAGTTAGTCTTTGAAAAATCTTTTCACCGCGTTAACCCTTTCGTTACGATGGAAGTGGCCGCCATTACGGTATCGCTGAATCGGGGAAAACAAGTTGAATCGCGATTATATAAGATTATAATAATAATAATAATAATAATAATAATAATAATAATAATAATAAAATCCGTTGTTCCTTCGTCATTAATATAAAAATTATTAATAGATATCTTATTAAAACGATTAAATCAATGAAATTAATATAGGTCGAAGTATATTGTAAATAAGTATATCTCAATTTATTAATTCAATTAAAATTATATCGATTAGGACTATAATCACCCTTAGTATACAGCGAATGTTTAACATTGAGCGACTATAGTTATCTTTAGTAAGGAAAGGGTAACGTTAGAGTTGCGTCAAGTATACGCAGACGATCGGACGAGCTAATCGCAAAACATACAAAGGCGAAAGTTAATGTTTGTTTAGTTTTTTTTTCTTCTTTTCTTGTTTTTTTTGTTTTTTTTTTTTTTTTCAAAATTAGTTCGCACGTTTGATTTCCATCGAGTGACGTCGCTCGTATCATTGAGAGGAATATGACGTCGTGCAAAAAGAAGAACGTTCTAATATTTGAAATATATGTGTGGATGTATATATATGTATATATATATATATATATATATATATATATATATATATAATATGTTATACAGTTGATCGATTGATCTATCGATCTTTTTCGGACGCTATTTACAAGCCGCGTAACTTCTTTCACTCAGGATTAATGTTACACAAACATAGAAAGTTTCCTATTTTTATTAAAATGGAAACAATCGTTAATTGTGAAAACAAATCGTTCGTAAGAAGTTTCGACGAAATCATTAATTATCAATTATGTACACACAACGATATATAATCTAATTATATATCAATCGTATATTTCTCTCTCCTCCTCCTCCTCCTTCTATCTCGCTTCCTCTTCTTCATCCCACCCGTCCCATCTCAATCGAAATCGAGATATTGCACTCGTTTCTTTTTGTGCGATCGATTCAACACGATCCCAATTGTTCGTTCTAAAATTATAACACTCACATCGTTAATAGTCTATCGCAAATCAATCGACTCGCACAACGGCCTCTCCCCCCCGCCCCATTTTCATCGTAAGGCTCCTTCGGAAACCTTTCGAAAGCTCGCGCGAGAGAATCGGTTCGTTCTCACTCGTTTTTGTGTTTGAATCTCCCGCCCGGCAAAGTTTCTTCCTAATCCACAAATATTCATTTCTTTCTCCCATACACCTCAATTTCCATTCCCCTCTAGCCCGTTCCCCCTCCCCCCTTTATCGGTCGGTCACTATCCTCGAAAGAGATTTCGTTCGTTCGGGAGTTCACTTTGATCCTTTCGACGAATCGATTCTCACAAGATCTCGAAATGTCTTTGCTGAATGTCTTCGCAAATACTCGATTCGTACCTCGATATCGAAGAACGATCGTCTTCCACATTTTCCGAAATGATCTCTTCGTTCTCGGCCGACCTGTCGTATCACGCCGGCGAGAACGGCCTGTGAATTTGCGGAGGTTTTGGATTAGGTGGAGGAGTGGCGACCCTTATCAAGCCTTGACCTTGAGCCTGCCCCTGAGGAGTCTGTTGATTCGAGGATGGACTGCCTCTAGAGGATGGCGTGTGTGGACTAGGCACGGCTACTCTCAAAGGACCCGTCACTGACAGATTCGTCGCCATTAGAGGTGGACTGTGAGCCTCTGAGAGTCCATCGGATAGCCGGGAGCCCTCAGATATCCTAGATATTCCCTCGGGTAAAGGATGTTGTGGATGTGGATGATGTAGCAGTCCATCATGAGGGTGTAGCCTTGGCGGTGGTAGCCCAAGTGGATCTGGTAATCTGCAAACGTAGGATAAAAATGTTGTTTCGCAAAGCAATAGATCGATCCCGCTTTTATCGTGTTAACAAGCGATATAATTTGTTTTGCGACGTGGAAGAGGACGGGAGAAGTTGATTTTTACCTGGATCCAAGGTCACCTCTAGGTCCAACAGCCTGAAAGGGACTACTTTCGGTCAACCTAAAAATCCCTCCACCTGCGATGTTCGGATGATTATGCTGTGGACTATGCGGACCAAACCGGAAACCAGTCGGCGGGAATTTGAAGGCCGTCGCGTGACCAAATCGGAATTGTGACTGAGTCGGATCGAAACGGAAGTTAAGGGAGGGCGGTGGAAGTGGACCGAGTGGGCCCAATGGTACAGGAGAGGGTTGATGAGTAGGAGGAGGAGAGGAACTTGGCGATGGTGGCGATGTTCCTCCAAGGGAAATATCAGAATCCTCGGAATCACTACCACCTGGTCCTGGACTCAATGCACGCCGTGCGTTTCCGTTCCCTGGGCCCGATTGTTGCTGCATTCTAAGACAAAAAATTAAAAATATTTAAATATATTCTTATTTTTGATAACAATTTTTCATTGTAATTGATCGTCATTAATCATATCGAAGAGAAATTTGTTTTTTTTTTTATAAAGGAAAAACCTACTCGTTTATTATAAAATGAGTATTAGAAATGTATGCGACAACGTATAGTTTTTTCTTTGTTTTTTTTTTTTATTTTTTTTTTTTTAATTTGATCATCGTTAACGTGGATCTGTTACTCCGATGAACATACATACATACGACGAACGAAAGGGTTAACGAAGTTCATCGGCAGTACGAACTCTCGAACCTGATCAGCCGTAGATAGAGAAGATGCGTAGGTGTAAGATCATCGTGGGGAATTTTAATCGTTCCCCATGTTCCTCGCTCTTATACCATAGTTGCATGTATGTGCACCTTAGTGAAAACGCTTTTGTTTCCAGTCATCACACCGGAGCGCACGCGTAATTAATGAGTGGGTTCATCCTTCCCAGGTGAGCAAGGATTCACGGGAGAGTAACGATGATTCTTGAGTCGTGTTCGCTACTTTAGAGAGAAAGAGAGAAAGAGAAAGAGAGAAAGAGAGAGAGAGAGAGAGAGAGAGAAAGAGAAAGAGAGAGAATGAACAAGACAGAGAAAAGAAGGGATCCACCTCATTACTCAAGAGATTAGGAATAGATATAGAAACTCTCGGCGAGACTTCCCACGCGACGCATCTTCCGGACGACAGAAATGACGAATAACTTTCCACATCAGAGATCTTAATCCTCACACTCGCCGACAGGAAAGTGTTATTTTTCTGTTGGATATAATTTTTACCGCACACGATGATTATTTACGCATTTTGAATAGCCGCACATAAATTCAGATACAACAATGTTTTAACTATTCAAAATATTTATATTCAATAATTGCGTGAGGTTTTAGAACGTTAACGGGGACATAAAAATTGTAAGCTTTATTTTTATTGTTCGATCGTAAAATAGCAATTTCTTTAAATTCCTTTGCTTTATTATTTTTTCTTTTTCTTTTCCTTTTTCTTTTTTCTTTTTTTTTTTTTTTTGCTCTCCTTCTTCTCCTTTTCGCCCGCCAAAATAGAAGACAAAAGTACTTTCGATATCAAGACGATTTTGACGTTTCGAAAGGTAAGAAACGAAGGTAAGGTCGATGGTCTGAGCTATTGTCTACGATGAAGAGAATCCTTTGCTACTTCAAAGACAATGAGACCTTGCGGGTCCCCTTAAAAGCCCCTCGAACTCCAGATCGATTCAACCGACAGACCTCCCAAGATCCTACCGTATTTTCGTTGCTAATCGAGTCTGAACCTCGTACTGTTACCACGGTAACACCTCCACAGATCCTGGAGTCGATTCTTTCCTTAGAAAAGACTCCTCGTATATTTCACTTAACACTTCTCTGCGATTCGTTTCAATTCGATTCGATTCGATTCAATTGAAATTCGTTAGAAATCTATCCACAATCTATGAAAAATTTATTTCTGTCTTTAATAAGAAATAAAATGGGAAAGATATTTTAATCGAGAAGATAATTATTATACATATCACTATTTGAAATTATGTACGTACGTAGATACATAATTACATAGATATACAATTAAGTTAGCATACATAAAATTAATCCAATTTCTTTATCGGACATTGTAGAAAGAATAAGGAAAAAAAGGATTCGAGATAGTGAGATATAATTCGAGGTGAACAACTCTCACGTGGACCTGTTTGGAACACGTTTGGACACGGTAATCGAACCCGCACACGTATTACCTCTCTCTCTCTCTCTCTCTCTCTCTCTCTCTCTCTCTCTCTCTCTCTCTCTCTCTCTCTCTCTCTCTCTCTCTCTCTCTTTCTCTCCATCCTTTTCTCGTTTCTTTTCCTTCGAGTACAAGACAGTCGACGCGTTTTAATTATGCTCAGGAACCGCTCCTCTTTGTCTTGTTCCTTATTCCTTTCATAAGACACCCGCACGAGCGGCACGACTTATTATGCGCGCGAGGCAAACCCTCACCCGTTTTGTTTCAGCTGATCGCTTTGCCTCCATTCAAGTACCGAAGAGGCTTTGACGTGCCCCAGCCCGACCGAAAGTGCGGAGGCACGACGAGCTTTAGATGTCGATTTTTATTCGAAAGAAAACAAAAAAGAAAAAAAAAAAGAGATAAATAAATAAATAAAAAAAAAAAGAAAAAAGAAAAAAAAAGAAGAAAAAAATAAAGAAAACAGAATGGTATGGGGGATTGAGGATGCTGGTGTAACGAGAAAGAGCAGACTGGAAGAGGCCAGGTATTACGTTACTCTGATCTTTTAATACCGAATCACCGCGCTCATTATTCTCGTCTCTCGTTTATTCTTTACCTGTCTCTCACTCTCTCTCTCTCTCTCTCTCTCTCTCTCTCTCTCTCTCTCTCTCTCTCTCTCTCTCTCTCTCTCTCACTCTCTCTTTTTCTTTACACACACGTACGCATACACACGTACGTATAATACATTAGAAATACCAATGGAGATGGGCGGTAGGTCGACGTACGATTAATTACTCTCGAAACTCGCGTGAATCGTCGCGAATCGATCGTGAAACGTTTCGTTTCGAGCGTTTCGTCTTTTAAAAAAGACGAAGTGCCTCTTTGGAGGCACTCTCTCTCCCTTTAACGATCTATACTCGCGGAATTATTTCCATGCGATTTTATACTCGCCTTTCCCTCCCTTTCTCCTCTTTCTTTTTCTTTTTTCTTCTTCTTCTTCTTCTTTTTTTTTTTATTTTTCTTTTTTATTTTTTCTTCTTTCTTTGCTCCTTTTTTCTCTCTTTTCTTTTTTTCTCTTTCGTTTTTTTTTCTTTTTTTTTTTTTTTTCTTTTCTTTCCTTTCCTTTCTTACGCTTATATATCCGCTCTCTTCTTCCCCTTTAACTCTTCACTCGTCGTTTGATATAAAACTCCAAGGCACATTTGGTTCACTTTCTGGGACGCGCGTGTAGTACAAGTTCCTCCTCCTCCTCCTCCTCCTCTTCCTCCTTCTTCTCCTTCTCCTCCTCCACCTCCTCTTTTTTGAGATTCGCGTTGCGAATCGCAAAACCTTATAAAAAGTTTATATGAAAAAGGAAAGAAAGGAGGAGCACAGGTGACGGAGATCCATCCTTTTGCCTTTGCCGTCCACGGGTTTGGCTGATTAAAAAAGAAATTCATCAAGCCGGGAAAGAGAGGGGGAAAGTATCAGGTGCAGTCATGAGAGAGTGAGAAAGAAAGAGGAGAGATAGATAGATAGAGAGAGAGAGAGAGAGAGAGAGAGAGAGAGAGAAAAAGAGAAAGAGAGAGAAAGAGAGAGAGAAAGAGAGAAAAAGAGAAAGAGAGAGAGAGAGAGAGACTACAGAGACCGATGAGGATGCGCCCTGCCGTTAAGTATTTACGCCGCATGACGAGTCATTTTTGAAATCCCTCGTATATTATAAAGTATTATGCACGAACGACGATGACGATGAGAGAGAGAGAGAGAGAGAGAGAGAGAGAGAGGGAGAGAGGGAGAGAGATAAAGGAAGAAAGAAAGAAAGAAAGGGTCGGAGCCGTGACCGAGGCTGCTGTAATTACGCGCGGAATGATGCTCGCTCGAATCGACGACGATCTTTTTTCTTTTCTTTTCTTTTTTTTTTTTTTTTTTTTTTTAACTTATCGCGAATCGAGAATTTCGTTTGTGTCGATAGTATCCACGAGTTGATCTATTGACTCTGTCTCTTCTCGCTACGATTATATTTATTTTTCAACGATTTTTCTTGATTTTTTTCCACCTTTCTTTCTCTCTCTCTCTCTCTCTCTTCCTCTCTCTTCTTTCTTTTTTTTCTTTTTTTTTTTTTTTTTTTATTGAACACATATTCGTTCCATAATCTTTCATCGATCTAACGAAGAAGGAAGGTAAGAGGAGGGGGAAAAAAAGGAAAAAGAAAGTAAAAAGTAAAAAGTAAAAATGAAAAAGAAAAAGGGAAAGAAAGGGGGGAAAACGATCGATTTCATAGTTATATCTCGATCGAGAATCCTGTCTGGAAAGGACCTCAAAGAAGAGTGACGGGGGATATCATTTTAACAGAATCTACCCCGTGTGTCAGGGGATACCGTGGATTTTGTGCGTGGTACGAGCCACGGTCTACTCTCCTCTCTCTTTCTCTTTCTCTTTTTCTCTCTCTCTCTCTCTCTCTCTCTTTCTCGTTCGCTCGATTTTTTGGACCAACCCCGTGCCATGCTAAATACCCGGTACACACAATGGGGTACATATCGTTCGAGAATCTGAGCCACGACGAAGGCTCTGACAAAAGGTAACTGGATATCGGTACGAGGAGGAGACGGCATGTGAACAGAGGCCCCGCGATTTTCGAGCTAGGCAGGACCCACTCACTCACTCTATCTTTTTCTCTCTCTCTCTTTCTTTTTCTCTCTCTTTTTCTCTCCTCGTCATCCCCGACCCACTCGTTTCACTGCTTTTTTCGTCGCTAGCTCATTTTTAATAGCCGCTAATAGAGACGTTAAAACGATACGGGCCTACTTGCTCGAGTCGACCCCCGATGCTCAGTTCTTTCTTCGCCCTCACAGCCCTGTCTTTACTCTTTCTTTCTCTCTCTTTCATTCTTTCATTCTCTCTCTCTCTCTCTCTTTCTCTCTCTCTCTCTCTCTTTCTTTCTGTCTTTTTCTCTCTGTTTCTGTCTCTCTTTCTCTCTCTCTATTTCTCTTTTAGCTTTTGTCTCACTCTCGAAACGAAAAGCCGCTACCCTTCGAATTATCAATGCCATATTTCTCTTAGGTCAAACTGGTTAAATGAGCAAGTAAAGAAGTACTCACCCAGTGAGTATCTTTCTACTTAACTTACTTAGATTGGAAACTTTACGAACGTTAAAATTTTCTCTATCATAGTTTTTCTATGTATCCTATTTACCGGGGAAAGGTTATAAGTTAGCTTTTCAAGATCGCGTCGTTTTAACTTTAGCAAGAAACGAACGAGCGGAAGTAGCG